GCCTTTCATCTATGCAAGACATTCATTGAAACATTGTTATGATTTTATAATTTGGAAAAATGGATAACCCATATTGTTCATAAAACCTTCTAATGGGATGATTTTGTGATGATTTATCTTTATTAATCTTCTAAATCATAAATGCATATTATAATACCAATGAAATAGTTGCAAACTATTTTATTATGACTAAATTGGTTGCATTGATTAATATCACAACATTACTATGAAAATAATCGATGTGTTTACATGTAGTAGAAACAAAACAAAATAAACATTATAACTGTTGCATGATGTAATTTTTATTTACTTTGTTTTTAATTTACCATCGTAAAAGGTTCCTTTGTGTGGATAGATGATATCACTAGATATCAAATTATCCAAGGATATTACGATTGACCTTCAATTCTAAATTTGTTTATCAAATTGGTCAATGATTATTAAGCTTGATAAACTTTAATTTTCAATGATAAGTGGTAACTTTAATGTTAAGCATGAGTGACTGGACCAAAGAAATGTCACTTAAGTTTGATATTAGAGTTAATTAAACACCACATTAAACAATTGCGTGAGTTATTGTTCAAGGAACCCAAAGGCTAATTGGATGATGACTCACACAATGAATTTTAGCATAATATGCATAAGTATTGTATTTCTGCCCAAAGGTGATTGTAATATTTATATAGCGAATTAGTAACTTTTAGGATGCCATAATATTCAATTATTGGTCTAGCCAAAGCGAAACTGATACTTGAGTAAGGTGTCTGTATGACTTATTATTTTGGTGTTAATAATAAGTATGTTGATATGTTTTATCATGCTATCCTATGAAATCACTTTAATAACACTTAAAAAGAAGGCGCAACTTAAATAAGTGATAAAAATATTTCTAATAAGATCCAAAATATGGGTACAATCAAGCTTCAAGGAAACTTTGTTGTAAATCTTGCCATTACAGGGATATACGTAACGGAATTTTTTGTAAAAGGAAATAATTACTTGCAAGGAAAGGTGGATTATATGCATTTATGATTTATAAGTTCAATTGTACGTATTTTTTTTTTTATTATTACAGGGATTCCATACAATCCGAAAGTTGGATTGAACTTAAGGAACAATTAATGTTGGGAATGAAGATTTGGTCACACAAGTTATTTTTCATGTTTTTTTTAAAGTGGTTATTATTTATGTCTTAAAGACACTCTTTATGTGTCGAGTATAACTTAAAACTAATTATTTGTATCTAAGTTAGCGAATGTTGGCTATACTTTTATGATTGGATACAATAATGTAACTGTTAGTTTCAATTCTCATATTGTTGGCTATGGTTGTTTAGAGGAATATCTCTATAAATTATTATTAAACAACCATTTTATGGAACCTTTAATACCGTTTAATATTGAAGAGAACTTAAATTGAAAACTTTGAGACTATATCGACCTTGTGCCATTAAGGCTTGGGCCACAAATCACAATATAAGATGATGCGTGCCATAACATATCAAGTTCTATTGTAACTTGACTTCTCATGTTTCAATAAATGCATCACATGCATCCAAAGGAATAAATAAGAATCTACAAGATGCTCAGGTTTACAAAAGCTTATTAATATTGACATCTGTAGATCTTACCCAACAACCGTATATGGTCAAAAATCACATATAACTTTTCTTGATTATTATTCTTGATACATGTATCCGTACTTGATGAATGGAAAATCTAAATCTCTTAAAATGTTTAAAACGCTTGACGCCAAAGTTGAAAATCCACTTGTGCAGGAATTATAAGCATTAAGATTAGATATAAGTGTCATATATTATGGTAGGCATACAAAGCTTGGAAACGGACCCCGATCTTTCTTTGAATTTTGCAAAGATCATTGGCTAATTAACCAAACCCCATGTCGCGTACTCCTCATTAAAGAATGTTGTCGAGAAGAGGATTAGAAACCTAATGGACATGGTGAAAAGTATGCTTGCAAACACCAAGTTGCCCTAATTTTGGACCTAGGCATTAAAAACGACAATCCACATCTTAAATAAAGTTCATTTAAAGTCAGCTCGTAAAATTCCTTTTGAGTTTTTGACAGGAAGAATACAAGCTTTAGGTATTTAAGGGTGTGGATGTACGGCCGAAACAAAATCTACAATCCTGAATCACATCAACTCAACATGAAAACTGTAAGTTGTTTCTTCATCCGGTATCCTAAAAGCGTTAAAGGTTACCGACCTTTTGTTCTGTCACATAGTACCTTAATTCTAGAAATGAAGCATGTAGGATTTCTTATGAATGCCAAAATCAGTGGGAGTGGTTTATTGAGGGATTTTGACCTTCAATAATCTTCAATTATAATTTAAGTGCCCATTACTATTAGCACTTCATTAGGAGATTCTAGTTTTGCCTCATGAAAAGCCTTTTCAAATGCATGGACAAATGAAACACCATAAAAGATCTCACTCAAGATGTTTGGCATTAAAACCCATGAAATAGCATATACCACTTCGTTTATGATGTAAGCGGCCCATAAACTTTGACGATTACATGAGACCGATCTTGACAAAGGGAAGGAAATAACCCTGTCATGGAGAGTGATGCCATAACTTGTGATCAATCAACTAAGCGTAATAAATCTTTGATTGAATACCCTAATTTAATGTAAAAGAATGATGTTTGGGAACATGCCAAATTACCAAAGGGTTTTCAAACCCATAAGATGAAGTAGGTCTTTAAGACCAAATTGGACCCCAATGATCAACATTGAATGTCATAAAGTTCGTTTGGTAACTAAAAGGTATTCACAAAACAGGGTATTTATTACCAAGAAACATTCTCACATGTTTCTCGAATTGACTTCCTTAGGATCATAATGGCTCTAGTATTTCATTTGGATTTAGAGATACATCAAATAGATGTCAAACAATTTTCTTAACTAAGAGTTACACAATGATGTTTACATAACCCACACAAACAGTTACATTTATAAGGGTTAAGAACATCTGATGTATAAACTCAAGGAATCAATATACATGCTGAATCAAGCTTCATGTGGATGGTATCTAATGTTCGACAAAGTGATGAACAATAATGACTTCATTAAGAACCATGTAGATCAGTGTATATACCTCAATATCAGTGGGAGGGACTTTATCATACTCGTACTATATGGAGATGACATTCTCTTGGTAAGTAATAACATATAAGTGATATGTTTCTTGGCTATGACTTTACAAAATGCAAAGATAAGTAGTCATTACTAGGATACATCGGTATACTATTAGTCGCCCAATATCATGGGAGAGTCATAAATAAACGATGACGACTATATCAACTATGATGGAGAAATTTGTTTTCATAGATAATGAAACATTCCACGAAATGTTGTTGAGAAATTAAATCACATGACTCATGATCATAAACTCCATTTACAGGCCATTAAAGGAAAACTTATTGCTATAATGTCACCTCTGTAAGTTTTCCATGAGAAATAATTATTATGGAATGAGGCTTTACCTCGATACAAAATAATTGTTCGTTAAGGGGGGGAAATATTATTTGTATCGAACACATTAACACTAATAATATGCTAGCGGATCCGATAAAGAAAGGTCTACCACCCAATTATTTAAACATGTCGTCAATATGGGTTTAAGGATACACCTATTACTATGTGTTATTCTAGCATAGTGATTTAATGGAACTTTTAATTTTAATTATTCAAGTACTTGATTAGTATTCCTCCATAATATGCAATTGCCTATATTAATAACTTGTGCACAATTACTTTCTATATAGACAAATATAATGCATGACCACTTAACTCTAAAGTCATTTGGCTTAAATTAATCGTAAGTTTCATATGAAGTACCATATTATGATCGGTGGGGGTCCCGTATCTAAAATGGATGCGCAAGGCTGTACTTTTCTACTTTTGATACTAATATGAAACATGATGAACTTATCTTGGCCAAATAATGAAACATGTATACAAATAGTCACTCGGCCAAGTGGGAGAATGTTGGAAAATAACACATTATTGTGGCCTTAGGACTATTTTGTAATACTTAGTACATGTTATGTACATTTATATTATGTACCATAATGTTTGCCATAATGACGTATCAGGTCCCTAGAATTAAATATTTATAGTATGATGGATATGATAATTTTCCATAACTTAAGGGACTATAATTGTGTGGTTCCAATATCTTTTCCATAAGGTGCAAATGATTCAATATATGAACGATCTAGAGGATAATTGAATGGTCTTTTCAGTTATGCTCTTCCTCCTTATAAACACCATGATCGTGCATTCTCATCTCTCCATCAGAAAATCATCAAGGCACCATTACGAAAAGATAAGGAATCATTAGGCAGTCATCTTCAACATCAATCATATATCTTCAAGTAAGTATTCCTCAATTGATTTATGGTTATCAATGTTTATGTATAAATTGATCTTGGATTATGTCTTTAAACTTGCAGTTAGTTTAATCGATTTGCAAATAATTTATTCAAGTTTCTAAAAAATTGATTGTAACCGGACTTTTTGGTTTCGATTTTTTTCTTTTCTTTTCCTGAAAGCCTAATCTTCCTTTCCTTTCTTCTAACTCATGAATACCAACATACAATTTCCTTTATTTTCCTTTATTTTCTTTTCTCTCCATATTTCTCTTCCCCTTCTTTTTTATTTTCTTTTACGAAAACTCGAGAAGTATATAGGTGTAATAGATAAACAATTTGAGATGTATAAATACATGTAATTTGAACATATGTTGATTAAAAACAATTGTCAAAACCAAAACCAATCTAGTTCACAAGTGCAATAAAGAAATTCCCTCCCCTTCCCTCTCCCCAAAAGAAACAAAAAAAGAAGTCAAAGTCAAAGTGGACTTTTGACCTTTCTACCGAAGATTTTCCCATCTTCGACTACTCTTTAAAAATCTAGAAAATTTATACTATTATATTTATTTATGTATATAAAAAGAAAGAAGGTTTTAAAGATTACAGTGAAGCGATGTCTTCAAGATTGGAAGCACAAGTGGTATCTGAGGCTGCATCATCCATAGACATGTTGAAATAGTCTCCACTAAACGCACCACCAATACCAATACCATCATCCCCGTAAAAAGAAGGGGCTGGGGAAGCTTCTGGTGTGACTGTAACTGATGATGGAGTTGATTCTGTCTCTTCATCACATTGCTGAAGGTAAAAGTACATAATGCTTGCTGTCAACATAAGCATCATTTTTTGATTCACCTGTCAACCATGGGCAAATAAATAAGTAAAAGATGAGGATGATGATGATGATAATGATACATATATTAAAAGGACATGCAGAATTAGAATTTACCTCCATGATGTCTTCGGGCAACAAGAAGATACAGCAACCAAGCTTTCGCGCAACACTGATGATATAAGTTGCATTTAACTTCTTCTCGTCATCTATCACCATTCACCACAACCAATCATACATATTTTCAAGTACACCATAAAATGGTCTTTGTTCATAAAAGATAAAGAGAAAGAGAGATGAAGGTTAGTTAAGGGAAAGCATAAAAGAGCATACCACTTACACCCTTGGTTACAAGGTTCCAATTGACAACCCTGGGCTCTACGGAAGTTAGAAGCTCAAGGAAGAATATCCCATTTGAAAGGCTTTTATCCTACATACACATTAACAAAAACAACATGAAAACCCATCACTTAACAATCATAAGAAATAAAGAAAAAAGCGACCAGAGTGACCTTAAAATTCTCCATTTGGGAAGTTCTGCCTGTGGATTTGACTTTTCTATTGGCCCACCTCTGTATATAACCATCTGTTATCTCATGGGATCGAGATCTCAAGTGCTTTAAAAGTTGAAGCATATTAAACCTCATCAGCTGCCATAAGAAAGCTGAAATGAAAGAAATCATTTTTAATTACAAGAATCCATGCATGGTCATTATTATGTTGTTAATTAATTAATAAATTACCAAGTATGAGCTTCTTATTCCCTTGTACAATGTCGATCCCTGATACGTTGACGAGTGAGAATTTTAATTGTTTTCCAATCCTAACAGCTTGATTGCAATTCTCAACTTTTCTAAATGGCATCTTGATAGGTGGTTTAGTTGTGTGCCTCCAATTGACCGATCCTGGAGAAATCTTATCTAGGATTTCCAGAAGAATCCAGCTGCATGAACAAGAGATTCACAATCAAATTAATGTTTCTGAATTTCATCTACAAAAGTCAACACCATCAAATACCAACATGCAATTGAATCCATTATAAGCCTTAACAAGAGAAACAAACATAAAATGTTGGTTGGATTAATGGTGGTATTATAAATGAGCGTGTTATAGTACTTATATTAGTAGATATTTTTGTATGGATAAGATACCCATTTCTGAGATCCTCGAAGACGTTGTTAATATAGGTAGAAATTCCAAGACTATTAATCCAGAGTCTGAAACATCTCTCTTCCCTGGAGACTTGCTCATCATCATTCATCATCTCAGCATAACAGACCTTGCTCTTGCTGCTATCATTTGATAGACCATTCCTGTGTACATATGTATATATATTGTTGATAAGTCAAGTCATGAGTGATGATCAAAATTTTGTTATGATATAATAAAGGGTTCCGGAACCTTTCGTGAAAGAGCTGTGCAACAAAGGCAAGATTTAAATTGGTTGAGCCGTCAAGAATATCCTTTGGAGTCAAGTATCTTTTGCATTTCATCCTCTCGGCGTGCTCCAGTACCAGTTTGGCCCGTTCAGCAGGATCATTTGAAACCACTGCACCAGGGCTGCTGTGTTCTGGTGCAAGAACATTAAGCAGGTAAGCATACGCTTCTCCATCCTACAATACCAACCCAACTAAATTAATTAATAATCTGCTGCTGCAACCCCTCCATCTCTATCACTCTAGCTACTGCCAGGTCAACTGTCTTGATATGTCCTAAAAGTTTACATATTTTGACAAATCATACTCTTTTGGAATACAATGAAAAGGCTAAAGCTTCAATACCTTTCTAGCCACTACAAGACAAGATAATCAAACTTCTTCATATATGTGTTGACTAAATACTAACTTGTTTTTTGCATACATAAATATAACAATTTGATCATATTATGGAACCTTCAACACTAATACCACACAGAAACATGTATATGCTTGAAATGGAGATATGTCGACATAAGACGTTAACTATAAAAATATATGTCAAACTCAATGAAAAGCTAGTGCTTACCTTTATATCTGCAGAGAAATTTGTTACAGTTTTTGTGTAGCCTGCTTTCTTAAGATGAAAGTTCATCCATTTCAATAAGATTTTCTCAGGTGATAATGTTATGAGCTCCTCGACATCCTATAAATTAAACAGCATACATATAAACCACATGTTGAAGATTCTCATTAATCCAATAACGAAAAAGAAGGATCAAGAATTACATCATCCTCATCCACCAATTCCAGAAGCTGAGGTGTCTTTCTAAGGTTGAGATCAGCCAGGAGTTGTATCTGCAGGTATCAACATTAGTTCTGTTTATGATATGATAACTCATATTGTTTTTTCATGATTGGTTAAATCATTAGTAAACACAGCTTTTGAAAACCACCTTTATGATTTGAGAAATTAGGCCAAGTACCAAATGAGGCTGCAAAATTGAGGAAGCAAAAGTCAGACAACCTAAACCAAAAGCATCAACTATGGGATGCGTGTTTAAAGTGATTATTCTTGTTGTAACTTGAAAAAAAAAAAAAAAAAAAAAAAAAAGTAAAAACTTACTCTTCCTTCAGCTAGATCCTGGCTGCCAACATTGACTACCGTGCAACCTATAGCCTTTGCAGAGTTAAGGCAAAGGGTATGATTTTCATTTCTTTCCCAAAGGTTGAGTTCTCTTTTGGTATTAATTGCTCGATCATCTATTGTATTGGGCACAGCAACATTGATAAGTTTACTGCATCAGACCATTAGTAATGTATATATATCAAAACCACCACAAACAATCGGCTCCTAATGTCATGACAAAGTAGAGTAAAACAGCAGACCCTGCTATAATACCATAGAAGAACTCCATCTTTTACAAGATCAAACAAAGCATTGGTGGATGCATCAATAGGAAGAAACTGCTTCAAAAATTTGTCTTCTCTGAGATAGCTATTGATATGAGCAACATAAACTTCTTTCTCTGAATTTTGCACAGTGTGTAGCGTAGAGTTTGTTGCTTTAAGAAATGAAGATGCATTCTTTGAGTTACCCAATTTTTTAGCAGCTTGTGTCTGTAAATTCATGTAAGCCTGTCCACACCCACAAAATGAAAAGGTTAAATGGCCTCCTAAGTCCTAATAAACAAACATTTCAGACATGACAACCAATATTTACCCTAAGAAAGCCTTCAAAGTCAAGTTTGTTGCCCTCATCGCTACCAGGCTCACACAATATATCCCTTATTTCCTCCTCCTTGAAGATCACATTGAAGGGCTTCAATTTTACAAGCACGGGTGGCAAGTCAACAGCAGTAACTTGACCATTTTCCTTCTTTAAATGTATAAACTGTACATCAACCAAACACAGCAAACCATGAATTGCATGGTATAAAATGTTGAAGCCATACTTACAACGTCTTGTATCTCCAAACCCAAGATCAATCATTAGGAGGGGGAGGCTAAATTAATTACCTTGGATTTAAGGCTACGAAGTTGAGCTTGTGAGAACTGGTTCTGGAGCCATTGATCAGAAACACGAACTCCCTCAAATCTAGACATCTCTTTCTTCCCAAAGTTCACAATATTTTGCAAACCCAGGAAAAAAAAATATTTAAATCAAATTGCCCTCTCAACCTCCTTTTCCGACAAAATCAATCACCGAAAACCACCACCAATAAGAAACCGATCAAATCTACAACACCGAAAATCTAAAAACCAAAACCCATTAACCAGCATTCCTGATCAAACCAAATCATCAAATAACAAGAACTAAGAATATAAATATGAAACAGATTTACGAATGCTAGATTGGCATTCAAGATTCGGCCAACAATATATTGATTGAGACATTTGATCGAACATATTACCTGCATAATAAGACATTCGTAATTGAATGTCCAATTTCAATTGAATTCTATAAATTTTGTCCAAAAACGTCCATAGCTTAACAAGGATTATGCATGTCGATTCAGGGGAGGGCGAGGCTAAGAGGGGAATGGGGGTATTCGGGCAAGAACGAATTGGCCATGAATGAGAGGCATGGACGACACCAGATAAGAAACGACTGTCACGAATACCTCTATTTTCATCGTCGTTTTTCTTTTGGTGATTTGAAGAAACTGTTTGTTGTTTGTCCGTACGCGCGGAAGCAGGAGAGATATGTACACGCGTCTCATCTGCGAATCGACAATTTTACACGTAGTACTCCACATCAGCAAGTAGTTGCCTCCATGTCACCTCATAATGTATTGTATTTTAAAGTGATGTTTTCTTGTTAATTGGGTAAAATGTGTTTGTAAATGTAACCGTATCCCAACCGAATTTCATTTCCGGTATTCGGGATTCGGGTAGGTCGGTTATTTAAGCATATAGCCGAATTATTTGATATTGACTTAAAAAAAAATGTTATAAATCATACATTACATATATCCCAAACGAAATAATGAAATACACAAAGAAACAAAGTGCTTGTTGTATTTTTCATATTTGTGATGAAAAATACGTTGCTGATGCCAATGTAGAAACCTTAAATAAGACCAAGTAATATGACATTTCGTTAAGAACCAATGAACTAAAATAAGAGATTTAGACGCATCAACTTTCTAAACTTACATACTTACTTGCTCTCATGGTAAATTCAACAACATATAGTTTTTTTAAACAAACTCTTACCTCAGTTTATTCTACAACACTGTTAAGAAACTCAATATTTAATTAAACAAACTTAACTGTCAAGAAATTGTATATTTTGATTAAAGACCAATATACCCTTGCTCTACATTTTAATTAAAGACCAAGCTCAAAATTTTAATTCAAAAAATAATCGCGTATTTGGGTATACCCGAATTTTTTTACACCTACTCGATACCCGAACAAATTAAATATCGGGTTAACCGAATACCCGAATTTTTAAACCCGATTTATCCGACTCTATTTACTCGAATTGAGAACTGGTCGGTCGGTTTGATCGGGGTTATTTTCGATGGACTTAATTGTAATTTCTTTTATTTTGACATTTCTTGTGATTTTTATGGGTGTTATATATATATATATATATATATATATATATATATATATATATATATATACACACACACTAGGTGTGAGACCCGTTTATTACACGGGTTTATTAAAAATAAAAAATTAATATGAATATATAAACATTAAATATTTTATAAAATAATGTTTTTCCATAACTAAATGTAATATTTTGGTGCATTTATGAAAAAAATCAAATTCTTTGGAGCATTTATGACAATTTATTATCAAATTAATAGATTGATAACCTTACATATATATAACGCATTTGAATTTTTTGGAAATTTATTTTAAGAAAATTGAAATCCCTAAAAAATGACAAGTGGAAAATAACTATTTTAAAAATCTTAGAAAATGACATTTGTCAAAATGAAGGAGAAGATAACAAGTGACAAAAGTATTTTCATTTATTAGGTAGGATATACATATATATATATATATATATATATATATATATATATATATATATATATATATATCACAAGAAATTTAAACTTTTTAAAACTAACCCAAATTCACAAATTGTTTACAATCATATTTTTCAAAACATTTTCAACATCAGAGTCTCCCAAAATCATAAGTCAAAACATGAGGATGTGTACGGTCACGTTTCGCCTTCCCTCGGTCATCTGAAGTACCTGAAACATAACCCAAAACTGTAAGTCAACGCTTAGTGAGATTCCCCAAAGTACCAACACACAAACAAATAACATATCCAATAACAGCATGTCGGGTCCAATCAACCATCGGGTTGGAATACCCCTAGGCCCATCAACCATCGGGTTGGAATGCCAATACACTATGGGTCCAGTCAACCATCGGGTTGGAATACCCCACGCCCCTCAACCATCGGGTTGGAATGCCAATCTACAACGGGTCCTGTCATCCTCGGGATGGAATACCCTCGGGCCCATTCAACCATCGGGTTGGAATGCCCCCGGCCTGTTGACTCACGCACAAAGCAGTAAAGCCTCAACCACCAATTAAATATGTGCACATATACATAACACATAAGCATATAAACAGCCAACAGACGAACATGCAGATCTACAGATCACTAAGCATAACAACATCCTATATACCACGATACCGATCTAACAGATCACTACAGCTCGGTAACATACTATCACATAACAGGATATCAAATCTAAAGGGCCGGCCTTGGTGCCTTCGACCCACAAATACAGTGAGGAAAACTCACCTCGAAACATAATTCATGCACTCATCAACCTAACTATCATCCAAGGATACCACTGCCTCATCATCCAAAACGCACTTCCGCAACTGCAAAACATGGAAGGTGTTGTGAATCTAATTGAGCTCCTCAGGGAGATCCAACCTGTAAGCTACCTTGCCAACCCTGGCAAGCACCTGAAAAGGCCCAATATACCTGGGACCCAATTTCCCCCTCTTCCTGAAGCGTATCACACCCTTCCAGGGTGAGACCTTCAGGAGTGCCATATCGCCGAACTGAAACTTAACTCTGATCGGCGCCTGTCGGCATAACTCTTTTGTCGACTCTGAGCGGTCTGCAGTCTCTGCCTGATCTGTTGAATAAGCTTTGTGGTCTGAAGGACTACTTTGGTCCTTCCCATAACCCTGTGACCAACCTCTCCCCAACAAACCGGGGTACGACATCTCCAACCATACAGGAGCTCAAAAGGCAGGGCACCAATGCTGGAGTGATAACTATTGTTGTAGGAAAACTCCGCAAGAGGTAGGTAGGAATCCCAACTCCCACCAAAATCAATGACACAGGCCCACAACATATCCTCAAGGGTCTGTATCATCCGCTCACTCTGGCCGTCGGTCTGCGGATGATATGCAATATTGAAATGCAACCTTTTGCCTAGTTCCTCGTGGACCTTCTTCCAGAAACGGGAGGTGAACCGAACATCTCGGTCAGAAACAATGGAAACCAAAACCCCATGGTGAGCGATAATCTCCTGGACATAAACATCGACCAACTTTTTGGCCGAAGAACTCTCCCGAATAGCCAAAAAGTGGGCACTCTTGGTTAATCGATCCACGATGACCCATATGGCATCAAAACCCTTTGCCGTCTTTGACAACTTGGTGATCAAATCTAGGGATGAGCATATGGACTGGGGAACCGCCCGGAGCCGGTACCGGAACCGGAACCCGAAAGAACCGGTCGGGTCGGGACCGGGACGGTATTCTTGTGGAATTTTTGGAACTGGGAACCGGTAGGAACCGGAACCGGTAAAAACCAGAACTGTATGTTGCTATTTCTCGAGGACCGGTTCCAACATTGAAGACACAGCAAGAACCGGTAGAACCGGCGGTCCGGTTCGGTTCCTATTTTCCACCAAGTTCGGTTCCCGGGCCAGTTCCATCCGGGTCGGTTCCTTTGCTCATCCCTAATAAAATCCATGGTGATCTGCTCCTATTTCCACATGGGAACCTCCAGTGGCTGACGCTTGCCATGCGGCCTCTGATGCTCAGCCTTGACCATCCTACAGGTCAAACATCTCTCGACATACCAAGCTATCTCCCTCTTCATACACAGCCACCAGTAACTCAATCTCAAATCCCGATACATCTTTGTGGATCCCGAGTATATAGAAAAGCGAGACTTATGCGCCTCCTCTAACACAATCTATCTGATCCCACCAGAAACTGGAACCCAAACCAGACCACACCGGGTCAATAACCCTCAACTATTTGTGACAAATCTGTCAATCTCACCCCTGGTCCTTTACTGTTTCCAGTTCTTTTTCCGAACTCTCTCTACGTGAGCCTCTCTGATCAATCCCAAAAGCGTAAAATCAACAGATATCCTCACACACATCTCCCTGACCGAGGACCCAGCCGACTTGCCGCTCAAAGCATTAACTACCACATTCTCTTTACCCGGATGGGAAAGGATCTCACAATCATAATCCTTAAACACGTCCAGCCACCTGCGCTGCCTCATGTTTAGGTTCGGCTGATCCATCAGATATCTCAAACTCTTGTGATCCGTGTAGATAGTACAACGGACCCCATATAGATAATGTCTCCAAATCTTGAGGGCAAACACCACTGCCCCCAACTCCAGGTCATGCGTAGGATATCGCGTCTCCTGCGGCTTCAATTATCGCGGGCATAAGCAATCACTCGTCCTCTATGCATGAGGACCACCCCCAAACCGGTGATGGATGCATCAGAGAATACCACAAAATCCTCGACCCCCTCTGGAAGTGTAACACCCTAAATCTGGTATGGCTTGAAACCCTCAAGAATTTACATTTTAGCATAATTGGTCCTTTAAGTACGTTGGGCGTACTTAAGTGTACGCTTAGCGTACTATGCTTGGTTGGTCGCGGAGGAGCTGGACGTACGATGGGCGTACATGCCAGGGGTCCAAAACCCTAATTTTCGGACATGAGGCCTATTTAAGGGACCTTAAGTCCCTTGGACTTAACCCTAGAGAGCCTCCATAGCCTTAGAACGTCCTTACACTCCAGAGAAACTTGTGAGGCCATTTTTGAGCTTTAAAAAGTGCATTTGTGGCCTTTTAGTGTTCATTCCAAGAAGAAGAGGTGGTCAAACAAGTTTGGAACGAGTTGGTGCTTCAAGAACCTGCATCTTAGTCATCTTGCAAAGCTTCTGGAGGTAAAAAGCTTGAATCTTTCATCTTAAATCTCTAGATTTAGCTAGGGTTTTCTACCTTGTCCCTTTTGGTTGATTTTGGACCTCCATTTGTGAGTTAAGCAACTCCAGAAGATGGGAATGACAGATCTGAGGTCCCTTGGTCCTTTAGAACCATAAAAATTGAGTCTTGATGGGAGTTTTTGCCTCATGCATGGGTTAAAGACCTTAGAAAGGTCTTAATGGAGGTGTTGGGTGTGTGTGAGGCATGCAAAGGCATAACATTGCCAACTTTATGCCTTAGGACGCCTTAACAAACTTAGATCTGACTTTTGGACGTAAAGGAAACGAGTATTAAGCACTTAATGGAGAAAGTGCTTAAACTGGTTGTACGTTGGGCGTAACCCAGTGTACGCCGCGTGTAGTCCCAAGACCTCAGTACGCTGCGCGTACCAGGATGGTACGCCAAGCGTACACATCACAGTTAGGCCGAATCTGTTTTAGGCCTTTGAGCTATTGGGCCTCATTTGATTATTGGGCATGGTGGTATTCTGGGAATTATGAGTCACATCATCTGTTATGGACCTTGACCATATTGATTGGGCCTTATTGGGCCAAGAGGCCCATTAAGGATTTTGGACTTAGACTTTGGGCCCATTAACAAGGGATGGATAATTGGGCCTCATGGAAGGGTTTGGAGTTTAGGTTTCCTTCGATTAATCAAAGTCCTAACATTGTTTATTATTATTATTCAGCACGGGAGGTTACAGACTGTTAGGAGAACAACTTTTGTCTTCAGCAGGCAGATGTGAGTCTTCTCACCATATTCATGGGTCTAAGGCACCAAGGCCGGTCCATTTTATGATATGTGACACACTAGTTGTAGTAGAGTTATGTGGTATGATAGTTAGCTTGTGCTAAGTTGTATGCTAGTGGTTATGTGTTGTTTGTATGAAAGACCATGGGGGGAGCCCATGACACTTGGATGTAAGACCATG